AAACTAGAAAATGGCAAACAAGATTGTGAGCCCAGGGTGCCTAACTCTAAGTCCTCAAGATCCCAACTGCTTCTGTTGTCAGGGTTCCTTTCAGATCTCAGAGGAACTCCTGAAGTGGACCTACCATCCCATTTTATGATTTTATTTTCAGCTGTGTGAATGTGTAGTGCATATGTGCATGCGTGCGTGCGTGCATGCGTGCGTGCGTGCGTGCATGTGTGTGTGTGTGTGTGTGTGTGTGTGTGTGTGTGTGTGTGTGTGTATGTGTGTGTATGACTGTGTGTTTATATGAGTATAGGTACCTGCAGAGGGCAGAAGAGGACATTGACTTCCCCTGGAGCTGGAGTTATAGGTGATTGTGAGCTGCCTAAAGTAGGTGCTGGGAACCAAACTCAAGTCCTTTGTAAGAGCAATATGCTCTCTTAACTGCTGAGCCATCTCTCTGGCTCCATCATCTCATTTTAAAGCCGAGAAAATTGAGGGAGGCCCAGAAAAAGAATGAGAAGTCTGGTTATAGATATGCCACAAGCTTAAGGTTCCTATACAGCAGGTTCTAGGTGTTTAATTGGTTTTAGCTGTCTAGAGAGAGAGAGAGATTATTATTAATGCCACAGTAATTTAGGCAAATTGAGGCAGGAAGGAAGCAGCTTGCTCAAGGTCACACAGCTCATTAGCAGAAAGCTTAGCTCCAGAGCCCTGATCCAGAGCCACTTTGTAGCATGCCTTCTGTAGAGGAAGGATGGTCTGGTCCAGCATCTGGGGGCTCAGATGGACTTGCCTGCCAAAGACTACAGTCTACCGGACTCCCAGAACACAGGCAACACCAGGGAAGGCAGGGTACCAGTACTCAGGGAAATGGGCAAGGAGTAGGGCTGGCTGGCAAGCCCAGTCTGCCCAAAGACTATTGGCCCCCAGCCTTTGCAAAGAGAAGTTTATTCAACAAAATGCAGACGAGCTAAGAACACGTCCTGCTCTATGTGAGTCTTGTTGTAGGCTGTGCACATCTTGGGAGATGTGTGGATGAAAGGCGCCATATAAAATGCAATCAATTATGAATCACCATTACTGAATTAATCACATGTATGATTAATACGGTAATAATAATTAATGGGAGTATGATCTAGAGATTATAGCTGAGAAGGGGCAGGGAGGAGCTGAATGCTTCTTGCAGTTGCTGCTGCTGTCTGGAGGCATCACCTTGGGGAATGCCCTGGGAGTGAGTCCTGTTCTGCCTTCTCTTGCATCAACCTGGGCTGTAGAAGCAGGAGACCCTGGGATGTCTCAAAACCCCTAAATGGCCCTGGATGGGTCCCAGGCAGCTGCCACCGGTTCACATCTCTATCTCAACTGCTCAAGGTCAAAAGGGACAAAGGGTTTCTTGAAGATTCCAAATTTTGGTCTGGCACAGAGAATGCAGTGACTGTGGGCGTGGCCAGAACAGGGAAGGGGCTTGGCTTCCTTCTGTGGCATGAGTTCCTTTGATCTGCCCCTCCCTCTGTCTGTCTGTGCTGGGACTTGTCTTCTCTCTGAGATCCCAGAGGGCGGGACCTCATCTATCACCTCTCACTGCAGAGCTAGGAGCTTATTTTCCCATGTGACTTTGTAATTTCCGGTTACTCCTTGATCCTTTGTTTACTTCCTGATTGCAAAGGATTGAGAAGACACTGGGAAATATCTGTAACAAAGCATGTCATTTTCCCCATCTCCCCTGTTTATGGATTGATATATGTCTTCAGAGTCTTTGTATAGCTTCTGTCTTCGTGTGTGATATAAACATACGCACATACATAAACGCTTAGACACAAATCCTTTTTTAAAAATAAAGACAGGTGCCATAATATCACTGCATTATTCTGTGATGCCTCTCGATAACAGATTTTCACATACACAATTCAAATTATAACAGTCCACTGAAGGCAAAGTCCCACCAATGAAGATGATTAGGCCTCTGGAGAGAGGGGAGTCATCGATGATTCTGGTAGGGGTGTTCATTAACACTTTTCTGCCCCTGGTGCTCAGCTGCTTTTCTCTGCCAGTGAAAGGTCATTTGTCAGAAAGCACCTTAATGCAGTTTAGAAATGAACGGGGCCTGGCCACCTGGTCCCTACATGGCTGGAATCCTATTCATTCCTGGGCACTCTATTATCCTTTGAAAGGAATGCCTTCCCCTGGAGGCTGCTGTGGAAGGTGGCCAGTTCAGGATGGCAGAGCAGGGACTGCATGTCCAGACCAATCCCTTTTTCACACAGATGGGGAAACTGAGGCTAAGAGCAAGGAAGAGTTCTCCCCAAAGGCATGCAGCTGGGAGTTAGGTGGGGAGCCCAGAAAATCCAATATCCTGACAGAGCTCCCTTGGACTTCCACTGTGCTATAATTTTAGTGGCAAGATCTTTGCATGCACGGGTCACAAGGACCATCCCGGAACCCACTGGCAGGACCAGCCCAGGATCCCTTCACGGTGTTCAGAGGAACTGGGAATTAGAAGCAGCCTCCTGCATGCCTTGTTGACTGATCCTGACAGTGTCCAGTCACTGTCTACTGTAGCAGCAGGGCACTGCTGGGGATGGATGGCCTTGCCTGGGGTGACAGCAGACCAAAGACCTGCTGGGTCATCACTCACCCTGGGCAGAAGCCCCACAGTGTGCCCTTCGCTGCTGCCTGAGGCACAAATGCTTATAACCCAAGAAGCTGTGATCTGCCTCCTCCCTCCAAGGAGTTTCCTCTAGTTGGAAACATTGAGGCCAGGCAGGGAGTAGGTGTGTGCTGGGGAGGGGGGCGCTGTCAGGCATCTGCTTTCCTGGACAGCTTGGTGGGGCGGCTCTTCTCGGAAACCTGAGGACATGTTCAAGTAGGCACTCAGGAAAGTCTTGCCATTCATGCTTTACAGATGGGGAAACTGAGGCTGTGAAGCTACTTGTGCCGTACCACACATTTACCAGCAAGTCAGCCAGTGGCGGAGCACCAACTAAGAACCTGAGATCTACCTCTCCAGACAAAATCGTCCTTAGTTGTGTGACCTTGGCCAGGTTATTTAAGGTCTCTGAGCTCCAGGTTGACATTTTGCTAACAGGGGTTAGGTCACAGGGCTTCAAGAAGAATTAGGGACCAACACACACAGGCTGCTGAGCATAGAGTCTGACACGGAAGGTGTCCAATAAATGTTTGTCATTATCATCGTTATTATTACCGATGATAATCTCCAATTCTGCATCTTCTGCCTGCTTTGTCCCAAGATGTTACAAATGTTAAACAACACAACAACCCTCTGAAGATATAGGGGGGATGCTGAGAACAGGGAAGGGCTAAAGTGGATGTGAGTGTCGGCATCGGGGTGGGGCACTGAGGTGCAAGCCTATCTTGCTCCTATCTATTTCTGACACCCTCTGTGACCTTGGACCAGTCTCTCTCTCTCTCTCTCTCTCTCTCTCTCTCTCTCTCTCTCTCTCTCTCTCTCTCTCTCTCTCCTCTCCTCTCCTCTCCCTCCCTCTCTTTCTCTCTCCCCCCCCCCCCGTCCTGTCTCCCCCCCAAGCCCTCCCTTTGTTCTTGATGCATCCAAATGACATCTCTGTGTGAATACTGCAGCAAGAACCCACCCCAAGGAAGCCAGGAGCACCCAAAAAGACCCACAAGCGCCCCTGGGAAGAGCAGGATGCACTCCTACAGGCCTGGAGGCAGCCTGGCAGGAAGCCTCCAGGGGGCTGAAGAGAGCACAGGGCTGCCCCAGCGCTGCCAAACTCAGTGGCCTCTGCCTGGCCTCTGCAGGAGTCCTCCCACGTGGTCCTCCCAGGCCTGCCCCAGGGAAGCTGAGAGCTCCTGAGCAAGGGCCCTCCTGCCCCCCTACTCTGCGCTCCCTGCAGAGCTGGCTTGGCTTCTCCGTCAAAAGCAGGGCCCATCAGGCTGGAGGCGGCGATGTGTCAGCTGGTATTCAGGCTTTGGTTGTGCGCTCAGAGCGCTCCCCCTCCCCAGCTCCCCAAATCCACCCACCCACCCCTTTACCCACTGCTCAGGGCCTTCTGGGTGGCAGCGCTTCACACAGAGAGAAAGAGACAGAGACCAAGGAGCCAGCAACCTAGAGCCCTGGCTGTGGGGGGTGGGGGCTGACTCACTTGGCCCCCTCCCTGGTGCCGATGGGGCAGCCCCCACACCCCTGGGCGCTGGCACCGAGTCAGGCCCCACAGTTGGGAAGAAGGGAGATGCCGCTCTACTGTGCCTGACCCGAGTCCGCTGAGGATGCACCCCGAGCTCAGGGACCGCTTGGTCCCCCGGCCGCCAGGCGATGTGTAGGCAGCGACCCCCCACAGCAGGCTCACTCCGGCGGCCCCCTGCTAGGGCCATCCTGGCCAAGGGCCCGCCGGGACGCCCCTGCTCGCCGCGCCCCTCCCCGGGCCGAGGCTCTTCCCCGGAGCCTCGCAGTATTTTCTTCCTGCACCTTTAAGAAGACCGTTGCTCCGTGGTGGGATGGTGTGTTAAAGCCACACAGAGGAAGTTACGCAGCCCGGATCAGACCGGGAGATAAAAGCCCCGATGGTGACCGTGAGTGATGGCAAGAGGATTTAGCCTCGGCATTAACTTGGAGCGGAGTGCAGGGGGGCGGTGAGGCGCCCCGCCATCTGGCCGGCGCCGCGCCAGGGGGATGCTCGGGCGCCTGGACCAGCAGCGGCGAAGCCCACCCGGGCCGGGGGCTGAGTGGGGCGCGCGTGCAGGTCCTCCCCTGGCTGCCCAGGGGCCCCCAAAAGTTTGCACTTGTTAGCAGCGACCTCCCGCTCGGCACGGGCGGGCTATGCGGGCGGCGCAGTTGGCCCCCTCCCCTGGCCGGCGTCTCCCGGACGGCTGCGGGCGGGCCCCCTGGCGGCCCGAGGGCTTCCTAGCCCCGATCTGACGGCGGCCACCGCAGCGGCGGCGCGGGGCAGGAGTGAGCCCACCCAGCACCCACCAGAGGGTGGCGGTCTCCGGCCTCTCGGGGCTCGCTTCGGGAAGCTGCTCCGAGCCGGGGTAAGGCGAACCGGGAGCGCCGGGGCGGCGGGCAGGGACCGAGGCGCCGCAGCTTCGCCCAGGGTGCTTTCATTTTGAAAAGGCTTAGGTGACGATGCTAGTTCTCCCTGGGCCGGGGAGTCACTCCAGGCCAACCAGCCGAGGCTAGGATGCAAAGTTATTTGGTGGTGGCTGCTACTAGCGGAGGACTGGAGCCGCGGAAGAGGGGTGTGTGCGCGCGTCCGGTGCAGCATCTTTAAGAAGTAGAGTAGCTCGTCTTCCCTCTGGGCTCCCCGCCACCCAGCCCATCATTTTCCATCCTGTGCGCCTGTGTGGGGAGGGGATGGACCGTTGCAAAAACGCCTGCTTACTTGTGTTCATGAAAAGTAAATTAACCTTTCTCCGCCGCCTTTCCCCTTCCCTAATTTAAGTCGGCTCCGGGCTCTAAAGGCGCACGGAGAACTCTTGGCCAGGCAGGCTAGAAACTTCCTTTGGTGCTGTGGAAGAGGGTCGGCAGGTGGAGAGGGGAGCTCCACCACGGTGTGAAGTCACATTCTTGGGGGAGCAGAGGCGCGGGAAGGCGGGAGCCGGATCTCGGGTCTGTCAGCTTCGGAGTAAGTTGTGGGTACGGGCTGGGGGCTAGCGGCATCAGGGTCCCCACGGAGCAGCTGCGCGCCGGGCAAAAGAATGCAAATAATTCCAAGGAGCTTTGCTCGGTGTCTTTTAATTAAGGGAGGCGATATCAAATGAGGGGGCAGCCTGGATGCTGGCCTGGCCTTTATTAAAGGCGTGATTATTAATTGTGCCGGCGGTTTGCACCGAACTTCGGAAAAGCAAAATGCAGCGGCGGTTTTGTGCTCCGTGTGCAGTGCACGCCACTGTCTACGCGCCCCCAAGCTCAGCGCGGACTCAACCAGACTTCTCGGTGTCTGCGGGTCGCAGGCTAGCCCCGCCCGTCCTCGGGGACTTACCCGCGGCGGCCTCAGCCACGCGTCCTAGAGCCGGGTGCTCTGCCCCGCCCCCAAGAGCCCAACTTTTCGGGGCTCCCCAGCCGCTGAGAAGGCGTCAGGGAGAAACCAGAGGTCTGGAGAACGCTCTCTTCCCAGAGGTGGGGACACCGGGACACCTGAACCCGGACGTCCACTAAGGCAGCGGTGAGCGCGGGGCAGTCCAGGACGGTGAGGGGGGAGGAGGGAGACACGGCGAAGGGGAAAGGTAATCGAGGGCGGTGGGGCTCCCCTTTCCTTCCCGATTCCTCCTCCAAAGCAAGTTTCACGCACCCCTTCTACCCTTTGTCCAGCCTGGGTGGAAGAATAAACCTCCTGTGGACTGCCCCCCTCCAGGTCCCACCCCACCCGGATCCCCCAGGGACCCTGCGCCGGGCAGAGGCAAGTTTCTGACTAGGAGAGAGCGCAGCCCTAGACTCTAGCAGGAGCCTGTTGGCAGCCCGACCAGCTCCGAAAGGCGCTAATTCAATAAGACAGAGAAATCTGAGTTCAGAAATCCTGATAAAATCTAATTTTCGGGTTTTAATACCCAGGCTATCAGCCCCCCTCGGTTCCTGAGGACTCTTAAAAGAAAATAAAGCGCATTGATTCCATTTGTTTCAGAGAGCTGCAGTTTCTTAATAATATCAGGTGAAGATTTATTTTCCAAGGAGAAAACGATCCGCAAGGATGCAACCTCTTACTCTGAATTTCTCCCCTGCTGACTCCTCGCTCCCTGCCATCTACCTCGTTTTTCCGCGGACTCTTGCCTAGGCCCCCCCGCCCCTTGTTTTCTTTTTGGCAAAAATCTACTGTAATTTTCGAGTGCTGAGCTCACAGTGCCCCCTCGATGCCAGCAACGCCCAAATGATTGACGGGTTGTAAACACATTTTCCCCTGGCAGATTTTGTTGTTGTTTTCCCCCACCCCCATTTTCTAGGGAATGTGTGATCCTTAAGCCAACAAAACGGCAAAGCAATTAATAGATTTGCGAGTTGCGCCGCTTGCTGCTCGCTGGGCTCCGGCCTCAGGGCCTCGTTGCCTTCCCACCCGGGCCAGAATTCAGCGCTGTCCCAGCCAGGAGCAGCCGCTGGCCCTGCAGATGAAGCCGGCCGCTGGGCCCGCCTTGAGCGCCGCAGCTCGGCTCTCTGGTCGTCCCCAGCCATCAGGAGCGCCCTACCTGTTAGTGAACAGTCGGGAGCCGGCTGCTGGAAGAATTAATTAGGGGCATGCTGTTTTCTGGGCAGCTCAGAGCTTGGCTGGAAACGTCCAAACCATTGCCGGGGCCCGCGCTATTTTATTTTTACTACATTTTCTCGGGCTGAAAAAAAAAAAAATAGACGCTTGGTCACGTTCTTCCAGAGAGTTTTCTAGCAAGAAGCGAGCCCTGGGCGGGGTCTAGAGGCGGAGGAGAGGTGTGAAGTGTGGTCTGGCTGGGTTCTCATTCATCCATATTAGGAGTCCTTCATCCCAAGAGGGGGCAGGGGCGGTCTTAACTTAGATGGATGAGGCCCGCTGCAGCCTGAGCAGACTACTAGCTGAGGGTTTCCCCCTGAGCAAGAAGCTCTCAGCAGTCAAGCTGGACCAAAATGCACCTGCCTTGTCATTTGGGGGCAGGGATGTACTTGTGTCTGGGTGACAGTATTTCGTGCAAAGACAGTTACCTCCTCTGGGACTTTCAGTATGCAATGGTTGACAAGGGCTTCCGGTGAGAGTCAGGTTACCATATGTGAGGATTAGGAATTTAAAATCAGCAACTGTGAGAACTATAACCAGAATAATTAATAACATAGACTTTGTTTATTTTTTTATTTGCTACATCCATTGCAATAACCTTTACCCTATTGGCAAAGATTATTTTTGGCGGGGAGCTCATGCTGGCGGACTCAGATTCGTCCATGATGTAGCAAACGCCTGGGAATACACTAGAGTCTGAGAGTCATATGTTTCTAGACGCAGTACTCCTATTAGCTATATTTATTTTAGCTTTTAAATGATTACTGCAGGCTTAAAATAGATGCTACACTCCTAAAATGATTGCAAACTGTTGGCCTTGGTCAGAAAATCTAACACAACAAAGCACTCTGATTCCCGGGGAAGCCTTAGGCCTCCTAGTTTCTGCCTGTTAATTCATTTAATTCATGGTTTCCCATTGTGTGGGTGACTGGGGAGCAGACTGCTAGTGGCACACACAGAGACCTCCCTGCCGGGCTGCAGCCGTAGTGGCGGTCCGTCTGTGGCGGTCCCTCTGTGGCGGTCCCTCTGTTGGGTGCTCGTGCCTCCTTTAACAACTTGGGCTTTTGGACTGGTCCGACTTAGTGTGTGTTAAAGCAACCATTAAACACTGGCTCTTGGGAATGCTGTAGAAAGTTCCTGGTCCTCAAGAAGGAACACCCTTACCAAACAAACGCCCTTACAAACGATGAGGAGGTTCACCACCTTCTTAATAGCATGCCCGTCTCTAAACCTGCAACTCCGATATTAATTAAAAACAAAATAGCCTGACTTTCCCTGGAGATCTCGCTAATACAACCTTTTTTTTTTTTTTTTTTTTTTGGTGTGTGCATTTTGCTAGAGAGCTTTTGTTCTTCTGTGTCTCTAACCCACCCACCCCCTTTTAATTTGTTGCAGGTGTTGCTGCTAATGAACACAGTCTCTCTTCTCCCTTCACAATGAAAGCCAAGCCAGAGCCCAGGTACCTGGATGGAGTGAGAGCTGAAGTCTCAGGAATTTCCCAATGAGTGGCCAATGGCTACTAGCCAAGGTCAGCCAGCCCCCATTCGTGCCTGTCCCCACCAGAGCAGAGGCAAATGGCCTCTCCAGTTAACACCTTGGTGGCTTTTTTATTGTCTAGTCTAGCCACACAATTGTTGTCAGTTGCAGCCCATACGAAAAGAAATCTCTTTTATTGGTCTGAGATGCCAAGTCCAGTCCCAAAGAGGGGACTCATTTCCAGCTAACGTGTACACCTCCTGATTTTATTTTATCTTCGCCATGCAGGCTGGAGGGCTGTTATGCAGTCGTGTTGAGCACATCACACATTAAGGGCTCTTTAAAGGCCTGGATTGATTGGAAGGACAAAAATTAAAAGCAATCTGATCCAGCCCCATGCCGGATCCCTTCGGATTTCCTCCTTATCCCATTTCCATCCACTGTCACAATTTGAGAGTCTGCCCGATTTGATCAGCTTCACCTCCAGGGGAGGTTGTAATGCCAAGGTTAGGAGGACGCCAAGTTACAGGCAACTTTTTGATCTGCTCATCAGCAGCCTGAGAAACGCTGGCTCTGGATTTTCCATATCGGCCATTTGGAGAACACAAGCTCCCACCATTGGCAAACCTGCAGTATTCAAGTCTATGGTACATCCCAGCCACCGTTGCCTGGTAGATGTGGCATTTCCATGCTGAAGCCCCGAGTCCCCCCTGACCCCACCACCACCTCTCCAGTGCCCCTTTGGGCCCCACCCATCCTGACTGCGCAGCCATGCTGCACCTGCTGGCCCTTTTCCTGCACTGCCTTCCGATGGCCTCTGGGGACTACGACATCTGCAAATCCTGGGTGACCACAGATGAGGGCCCCACCTGGGAGTTCTATGCTTGCCAGCCCAAAGTGATGCGCCTGAAGGATTATGTCAAGGTGAAAGTGGAGCCCTCGGGCATCACGTGCGGAGACCCCCCTGAAAGGTTCTGCTCCCATGTAAGTCAGCCTACTGCTTCTATATTACTGAATTGAGGGGTGGGGGACGGTGTGCTGAGAAAGACCTCAGGGTGGCTGAGTGGACCCAGAGGGCATGAATACAAGACCAGCTCCAAATCCCACCATGGAAAGGTGCCAAAGCCGAGCTGCCCTGAGGACCCTGGGGGCTGAGTGACATTTTGTGGGTGGAAGCAGTCTTGGCCAGCTGACCCTGGGATGTTTTCTTGCCAGGAATTTCACAGTAGTCATAGTTCCTGTCTCAAAGCCAGCCCCTCCTCCTTTACAGGAAGTCAGCATTCAGACCAGTGACCTGGGTACTGTTTGCAAGGTTACACTCCCACCTGCTTGGGTTCACCCCTCTGGTGGTGCACCCTCCCGGCCTGCCCAGTCCAGTGGAGTGCATAGCATCACGATCCAGCTCACGCCAAGCACCAACCAGGCATTTTGCAGAGGACAGTTTCTGGGGGGCTTGGAAGGAATTCCTGAGACAGGGGCGGAGGATCAGGCTGAATAGATGCAGCCAGCACCTCAGCCAGAGCTGTCCCTAGTCAAGAGGCAGTCAGGCCTTGTCACCCGAGGCCCTAGTTAGAGAAGAAGGTTGCCTGAAGCTAGCGAGAGTTCCAGTGTTCAGGCAATGTGAAGGGTTCTGGTAATAGCAGAGTTTGACGAGAGCTCCGGGGAATTTGGGGTTGAGAGCCCAAGGCCCGCTATTCTATGGGGTTTTCCCTGGGCTCCACCAGGCTGATTCTACCTTGGACAAAGTCAGAACGTTTGAATGGCAGTCTCACCAGGGTCAGACCAGGGTCTCTCTGGGCTTCTGCTCTGTCAACTGAAGAATGGGTGGGTTAATAAAGTACGCCGAGCGTGATTGTAAGAGGTCAAGGCTCAATGGATACATGTTGTTCAAAATTAGACTGGACATGGAGAACGGGTCCCGGATGTTTGGTCATTCTGGTCATCGAGATAGAGAAACTGAGAGAGCAGGGTTGAAGGCCCTTGGCCAAGGTCACAGCACAAAGTGGTGAAGCTGCTGAGTTAAGCTGAACCTGCAGCACACAGCAGGCCAGTCCCTGGTGGAGGCTGGGCAGAGCAGTCAGGGGAGCCGGCAAGAGGGGGTTCAGTGTCCCCCTGCAGGTGGCTGGTGCCTCTGAGTGTCCTTGGGAAAAGCTGGGTTTATTGCACAGTCAACCTGGTGTCCCCAGCCCAGGCTCCTGAAAATGTCTGAGTCCCTTGGGGCAGCATCAGTCACAGTGCAGAGCAGCAAGCCCAAGAAGGTAGATTCCCACTTGTCAATGGTGATAAGGCTGTCACTGTGGGTGGTGGCTGGGTCTGGGCCAGCTTGGAGAAGGGAAGGGAGGGAGGGAGGAGACAGCTCAGGGCTGACAGCCAAGACTGGCTTGTGTGTGGACATTGTTGAGCACCAAAAGACCACGCTGGCCCAAGATAGGCAAAGGGCCCGGGCCCTGAAAGTCAGGGCTGAGGCCATAGTGAATCCCACTCTGAGTCCACATCTTAGCTCCTGTGGGAACTGCTCCAACCACACATTTCCCAGGCAGAGTCTCAACATGATTTTGTCTTTTAAATATTAATCATTGCCAGGGTTGGGGGCGATTCATGGAACCAGCTTCTACTCGAGGGTGTAGGAGCTACAGAGGGCCACTAGAGGCAAGTCTGGAGCCCTGTCCTATCTGGTGAACCAGGTCTTGATGTTGGTTGAGGTCTGGGGTCTGGATGGGTGAGAAGGTCCAGGAGGAACCCAGTGTGGCTGAGGCTCCAGCCTCTTAGCACTTGTCTCATGGACATAAATGTCCCATGATAGGAATGTGCAGCTTTGCCTTTGATTATAGATATGAGCTCAAAGAGAATGGAATGCCACTGGGGCAGGAGGAGGGCAGCCCTCAGAAGGTGCTGACTTCTGCAGGGAGGTGGGCATCACACCCAGTCTGTATGAGGCCCTTCCTGGGCATGTCCAGGGCAGGCCACAGGCATGTGTTGTTGAACCATGTTGAGGGTACCCCGAGGTAAACCCCAGTCTAATCCCCTTTTAAGGATTAGAAAGATTGCCTCAGTCCTGCCAAGGTCAAGAAGCTCGGCAGGCTAGGCAGAAACTCATCTGCGGCCAGAGCACATGCTTACCCATCAGGGTGCCTGGCTTCCCTCTCTGAGCATGCTGACCTCGCTGAGCCTCGGTTTCTTCCCGTTTCAATAAAAAACGATAATGTAGGTGTGTCGCTGGCAGTGAGACAGCTGGGCCAGGCACGTGCGAGCATGTGGGAGTGCTTCGGTGTGCAATGGCCATAATTATCTTACGTCAACCATTGTTATTACTCCCTCGGTGGCTTCCTGGGTTTCTCTGCTTCCCTGGAGTATATTGCTTCATTCCAGCCTTGACCACATCACAGTCTGCATTTCTTGTCTACAGGCAGCAGGTGGTAGATGAATGCCCAGGGACTTTAAACGTCCTCAGTCAAAGCAGATGTGGCGAACTAGCCACCAGAGGGCAGCCAGACCACCCAGTGCCCTCTTAGTCTTCTAAGCCAGGGCCAGCTCATCCCGGCTCTCTGCTGTTAACAGGTGAGGGCCTACCTGAACCAGCACCCAAACAACCAGGACATGAACCTGGAGCACCCCGGGAGTACAAGAGGGGACAAAGGACAGTTGCCCTTCTCAGTCCCAGGGTGCCGCCCCTGCTTTCCCAGGTTCCTGTCCTTCAGCAAGGCCACCAGAGAACTGAATTGTAAATTCCAGCCTGGTGAGGAAGGGCAGGGGGATAAAAGACAAGATAAATGAATAAATAAAAACCTATTGGCTCTAAACGCATGAGGAAAATGAATAGGGATGAGCTTTCCGCAGAGGGCAAAATTTCAATGAGAGCTGCGGGTCAGAGGCAGGCCTGGGAGGGGAGAGCGGAGGAAGAGGAAGCCAGCAGAAAAGGGCTTTCCAGCTTTTCACAGGGTGGGCAGCTATGGCTCCTTGGACCCTTCTGCGTGAGGCAAGCGCCCTGGAGCCCGGCTGGGGCAGTGTCTAGTGCCTCCTGCCCTGCAGCCTTCACTCCTTTCTCTGTGCCGAGGGGACAGAACCTTTGGACATCACGGGGTGAAGGAGGAGAGACTGAGTGTGCCCAGCCTTCTTGCAGCCTCATTACCAGAGTGTGGTCCCTGGACCCCAGCCTCAGCCTGTCTGAAATGCAGACTTCTAGGCCCTGCCCCAGACCCACTAAGTTAGACTGTAGGGCATGAAGACACAGGCAGGGTCTATAGTGGGGAAGCTTATTGTGAGGGCTCAGGAGGCCTGAGGTTTCCTTGAGATCTCTACAGCCCTGAATGTTGATCACTGCCCAGGAAAGAGAAGTGAGCAAGAGGGACCTGTGGGTCCTGAGAGAAAGGTATAGGATCAGGCACGGAGGTTGCTCAGGTTGAACCCTTGAAAAGCAGGGTGGACCTTGCCAAGGCTGGAGTCTATGCTTCACTTTGTGTGAGTGAGACTCAGTAGCTGCTTCCAGACAGTGGCAGAGACCTGTTTTGGTGAGAATCACATCTTGGCATTACTCCTCTGGGCTTGATGATCTGGAATAAGCCATTCAAATTCTCTACGCTGGGCTGTGGATGTGGCTCACTGCTGGAGTGTATAGCATGCACGAAGTCCAAGGCTCAGTCACTAGCACTGTACAGACCAGGTGTGGTGGTACTCGGTAGATAGAGGCAGGAGGATCAGAAGTTCAAGGTTATTATTAACCGGGTAGAAAGTTCAAGGCCAGCCTGAGCTACATGAGACCCTGTCTCGATAAACGGGGTTGGGGTAGGAATTGAGTGGGGCTGGAGGGATGGCTAAGCATTTAAGAGGACTGGCTGTGTCTGCAGAGCACCTACATCGTGGCTGACAAACATCTGTAACCCTAGTTCTGGGAGCTCTGGCACTCTTTTCTGGCCTCCATGGACATTGCATATGTGTGGTACCCAGACATACATGCTAACAAAATACCCATACACATAAAATACAATAATTTTTGACTTAAAAAAAAGCTGGGTTTGGTAGCACATGCTTTTAATCCCATCACTAAGAAGGCAGAGTAAGTGGATATCTGTGAGTTCAAGGCCAGGCTGGTCTCTATGGTGAATTCCAGATTAGCCAGTATTATAAAGTGAGACCCTGTCTCAAAAAAAAAAAAGAAAAAGAAAAGAAAAGAAAAAGGAAGAAAAGGAGCATTCTCTAAGCCTCAGTTTCTCTAAGAGCTTGCCTTACCCACTTCATCGCCTTCCTGAAGAAGGAAGCAAGTCGGAATAAGATTTGACCATTAGTCTGTAGCTAGTCTCCATCATGTATGCCGGCATGTATGAACATCGAATGTGTCTGACAGGTCTCCAGGGAGATGACAGTTTGTAGTCCTATGCTGTGTGACCTTCAGCAGGGGATGCCACCTTCTGTCCTCAGGTTGGGGCTAGCAGGAGATCACACTCAGGACGCTGTCACCAGTGCAGTGCCTGACACAGTGTTCAGTTCACAGGGCCTTAGTGCCTAAGAATCATTTGATGGGCAAATGGACGGATGGCTAGAGGGATGCCGTGGTCCAGGAAGGCTTCTTGGAGGAAAAAGGATGAAGGCTGAGACTTGAGGAAGATCTGGGGCTCTGATCAGGACCCAGGGCAGCTGGAAGCTCCCATTTTTCCATCTCCCCATGGCTGTGGGATCAGCCTCGAGTGGAAGGCAAGGGTTTGCTCACCTCTCTGCTTACACCTGTCACAGTGTCTTTGAGTTGCCAGCACTAGCCTTTAGCTGCAGCCACAGGCTCTCTGAGATGAGAATAGACCCTGGGAGGTCATCTTGTTGCACAGAGGTCTCCTGCTGGGGCCGGACAGGAGATGTTGGAGCTATGCTGCCACCAAATGCCAGGCCCATGGGGGTCACTGGTGCTTCTGACGTTTCTGGGAGGAAGCAGTTGGGTTCAGACACCCTGAGGAGAGCAGCAGCAGCTGCAAAGTAGTGAGTATACAAAAGGACCC